GCTTCTTGCTCATGTTAGGGAGGACGGGGCGTCGAACACCGTCACCACGCCAAACACCTGCCAGCAAACACCTGGGACACTTTTTGACTGGAGGACAGGCTACCGCCCCGTCCTCAAGGATAGGAGGATAGGCTACCTCCCCGTCCTCAAGGATAGGAGGATAGGCTACCTCCCCGTCTTCAAGGATAGGAGGGCTCTGTGAGGACACTGCCTCGTATAGTAGTTTTGAACACAGAGCCCACACAGAGTCACGTTATCTTGAGATGATTTTGGGGCTTAGCGTCCCCGCGGCCCGGTCCTCAACCAGGCCTACTTTTTGCTACACACCCCCAGGAAGCAGCCCGTAGCAGCTGTCTAACTCCCAGGTATCTATTTACTGCTAGGTAACAGGGGCATCAGTGTGAAAGAAACATTTTGCACATTTGTCTCCGCCTCTACAGGCGATCGAACCCGGAACCTCAGGACTACGAATCCGAAACGCTGTCGACCCAGCTGTCAGGTGCCCGTCGACAGCTTGGTCACGTCGACAGTAATTAGAAACATGATGAGTACCGTGGTAATTATAACCAACAAGAGGAGACGACCCCCAAGGTCTGATAGAACTTGCTGGGATGAAACGTCCAGAGAAAGTGTAATGTTGAGTGGGAGGTTACCTGCCTTGCCAAACAATGATGATCCTGTTGAGAGGTTCACCGTCTTTATATATGCATTTTGCCTGGAAGATCCTTTCTAGATTAGAAGCTCTAGCAACAGAAAACTCTTTGGGAATGCTGGTAACCCAAGATATTCCTGAAATTTGGAGGGCGATTGATGACGTCTTTTCCTACGAAAATCATATTACCAATATTACCTACAACCAGTCGAGTGATGATATTGTCTTGCTTACGTGACTCATAGATGTAGAGGAATATTACTGTAGGTCGGACTAAATCGAGTAATGTTCTGGAGAAGTCATTAGAAAGTCGTTCGAACCATATCAGCTTAGCGTGGGTTGTTGTTTCATCACTGGCAAATCTCGTAGTAGACAAATATTTATTTTATTTTCGACATTCTTCACTGTTTTTCGATAGGAGAAGAAATGTGTATTTCTTCGGAGTGGGAAACACCACTTAGATGGAGTAAACGTGTTTTAACAACTGTTAAATAGTTACGAGGAAACACTGTGGGCAGATGCGAGCTAACCTCAGTATTCCCAGCTACGTGATACTGGTTACTCTTATATATGTTGTGTGAGTAAATTTCCCCAGACAGGGGCATCACTTCCCCTCTCGCTGTTTTCTGGAGAAGACAGCGACATGGGCGTCACTCCTCTCCTACACACCCGAGGGCCAAGTTGTGTGCCTTAGACGGGTCTGGCAAGCATCAAGACAGCGCCATCAGAGCTAAGATTAACACGGTAACTATGAATTCCTTACTGCTCCTGGCGGTGGTGGTGGTGGCTGGTCAGCCCATGACTGAGGAGCCTGCCTTGGAGGAGCTTCGCTCTGCAGTCATCGTCTCCCAATTATCGTTATCCCACCAAACAGCAGTGTTGAGCGAACTCTTAAATGTCACACGAGAACGCAACTCCTTCCCTCAAGGTAATTCCTGCATTTGAGAAAATATTTTAACAAATTACGTTTTGCACAATTCCTTACATATATGATATTTGGTTCATGTCATGTAAGTGTTTACAGCCAAAACCGTTCAATGAGGTTTAGTTAGTCAAAACCTTTTCGACAAATATGTAGAAAACATTTTTAATAACTGCTAAAGTCAGTTTAAATTGTACAAAATAACATTTTATTGCAACTATATTATTCTAATATGGCGTTAATTTTAACTTAATTCAGCAGAGTTAGGATACATAGGTAATGTAGTTTTGTTACGGAGCAGTTTGTTTAAGTTATTTTTTATTACAAATTACAAGTTTTCTGATTATTCACTTCAATAAGAAGTATAATTAAAAAACACAGACACCTTCAGATTTGTTAATATCATTAATCCCAACAAACAAACAAACATGTATGATATGTGTTATTGAACCATATGGTCCTCAACAACGAATTTAAATATGTATATAGGCCTAACAATACACGTGCACAAGTTCACTAATGATGGGCAGATTGCTGTTCCGTATTTGATGTTTCAATTATTTCTTTGACTGTGATGTTGACGACACTGAACAATTATCACACCTCACAAGGCGTCGTTGACTTGTATTAGAACATCAAGACAACTTTGTTCATCCATCTGTCCCAATACACAACCTTAAAATGTTTTTGTTCATGTTTCTTCAGCGTATTGCTGTTCCAGGTCCGACCTGCCCTTACCCATACACTTTGGTTCTCGACGAATGCTTCTACTTGAGTCCACACTCAGTCACGTGGGAGGCGGCTCGTAGGCACTGCCGAGGAATGATGGGCGACTTGGCCACACCCAAACACCTCTACGCCATCAGGTCATTCCTACTGGATGTGGCAAAAGTTGAAGGTTAGTAGTTGGCAGTGGTGTACTCACC